CACGTGACCTTAATAAATACCTTGTATCCCGCCTTGGAGGGAAATAAATTTCTCAGCGGAGAATAAATCCTTTATACCTCGCCACGAGCAAGATTGGCTGCACGTGGATTTCTGAGAGGCAAAATAAATCCCCAAAACCCTGCTTCGAAGTAAAAGGCCGCACGCTTTTTCCGAGTTGATGCAAGTCACGTGGCACGGCAAAGGTTAACCTCAGCTCAATCGAAGAGCTGTTTTCTAATTTTTAAAAAATTGTTTTAATGCATTTACAATGTCATATTGATGACAGGTAAGATGAATTCAATGTAGCAGTATCACGAGGGGTACATGGGGTTTTAAGCGTCCCACGTTAGGTTTATATCACTCGTGGTTTAAAAGCTAACGCAGCAGGCGTTTACCTCCATGTACCCCTCGTGATTCTGCTACAACTTATAGCGTCCTACTGCTTTAACTATAATACACTCTTCAAAAAAAGAAACGCATAGGTGTTTGGAGAATTCCAATTAGATTTTTTCCCCGGCAATCGTCATAAACACATTTCTTATGTTTGATTCCCGTTAATCATGTTATGTTTTTGTGCATTTTTTGTAAACACATCTCAAAATGTTTTTTTGTAAACGTTTATCAGCAAAAATGCAAAGGATGCACGGAAATTGCTTTCATAAATAGTTTTCAGCACAATGCACGTGCAAAGTGTTGGAAACAAGAGTAGACACACTGACTATAAAACACCGTACAAAATTCATCAGTTCATTACGAATTTTCTGACGTGAACGGAGATCGAAAAATGCCAAGATTAACTGCAGCTGACCGAAATATCATCATTGGACGTTTGGAAGCAGGGGAGTCCCAGTCTGCCGTTGCAAGACACTTCAACGTTCACCAAAGCACCATATCTCGACTATGGGATCGATATACCCGCACTAATTCGACTCAAGATCATCCCAGAAGTGGAAGACCAAAAGTGACCACCCCTGCTCAGGATCGGTACATCCGGTTGTATCACCTTCGGAATCGATTTGCTACAGAAACGGACACTGCAGGACAAGTGCCTGGTATGCGAAGAACAAACCATCAGAAATCGTCTGAGGGAAGTGGGAATTCGAGCGAGACGACCAAAAGTTGGGCATGTCTTGCGACGTCTTCACCGTCAACGACGTGTCCGGTGATGCAACAGAGTACAGGCATGGGATCTCAGGTACTGGCGACGCGTTTGGTTCAGCGAAGAGTCACGTTTTCTTCTTCAACGACGGGATGGAAGACAACGTGTATACCGACGTCGACATGAACGTTTTGCACCGAACTGCGTTCGACAGGTGGACCGATTTGGTGGAGGGAGTGTTATGTTGTGGGGAGCCATATCCTACACTGGTAGATCACAGTTGGTGGTTGTCCAGGGCAATCTTACAGCAAACCGATACATAGACAAAATTCTGTGTCCTCACCTCCTCCCAACTTTGGACCGCCAGAGGGAGCTGTTCCAACATGACAACGCTCGGTCCCACACAGCACGTGCAACAGTTAATTTTCTTGTTAATGAGAACATCAATGTCCTTCCATGGCCGTCCAAATCGCCTGATCTCAACCCGATTGAACATTTGTGGGACGAACTTGATCGACGCGTCCGTCAACGTCACCAGCGTCCCCACACACTGGCACAACTCGCCGAAGCCGTACAGGAGGAATGGCGGAGAATTCCCTACGAAAAAATCCGACGACTTGTGCAATCTGTGCCAAGGAGGTGTCGAGCAATGACGGCAGCAAGTGGTGGTGTGACCAGGTACTGACCATGACGCCCCCTTGTGGCTACACATGTGCAATGACTGAACTGAATTAATGCTGACAATGACGACAATGCTTTTGTCGATCACTGTGTCTAATTTCATTTGATTGTGTTCATATTCTTTGTAGATCCATTTACATCCGCTTAATAAATATCCTTATTTTTAACTATGCGTTTCTTTTTTTGAAGAGTGTAGTTCAGGGGAAAACTATACTTTATTCCACTACAAAAGAGAAAACTATATTTCTTAAATATTGGATAATCATTTTATAATGTGTAGCTTCAACGACCAGACTTTACCCTTATCGGAGTCATGCGCAAATCCTGTCATTGCATCTGCTTGCGTTTGTTCCATATGTGTATTGGTCTCATGAGTTGTTCGTTTCTTAGTTTGTTTGTTGTTTAACCAGTGATTGACATCATGAGCATCGATTCACGCAATTGGGTTACGATGACATGCATCAACCAAGTCAGCGAGCCTGACCACCCGATCCCGTTAGTCGCCTCTTTGTAGATGTAATAGATACTTAGTTAGATAGGTAGATTGGCGATATCAGTAATATGGCAGAGTGTCCATTTGATTTCGGTAGCGTTTGTGAGACATTCAGTATCAACTGACACCTAAAAGGAAGCCCTCAAAAATCTTTAACTGAACAACATGTCTTCATGTCTGATAAAACTGCAGGTGCCTTTGGTATCTAGACAATACGAGTTACCTCCCTTACCCATTATCTTTTTTCTTATCTTGATGTTTGATTGGTCGGTATAATGTTAATTAAAATCAAGGGTAGGTTATTTAAGATTGCTTTTAGCAATAGGCCAGCAATATCACGGCGGGGGACACCATAAATGGGCTTCAGTGTACCCATGTGAAGAATCGAACCCGGGTTTTCTGCGTGACGAGCAAACGCTTTACCCACTAGGCCAATCCACCGCCCCTTGTGATCTAGTTGGTTGGTTGGTTGTTTTACGCCGCACTCAGCAATATTCCAGCTATATGGCGGCGGTCTGTACAATAATCGGGTCTGGACCAGACAATCCAGTGATTAATATCATGAGTATCGATCCACGCAATTGGGATCGATGACATACATCAACCAAGTCAGCGAGCCTGACCACCCGATCTCGTTAGTCGCCTCTTACGAAAAGCATAGTCACCTTTTACGGCAAGCATGGGTTACTGAAGACCTATTCTACCCCGGATCTTCACGGGTCTCACGTGTTGGTAGCGTGCACCCGTGAGTATTCCAGGCAAGGGTATACGCCTCCAGCAACATGTGCTTGTCGTAAGGGGCGACATTTCATGTAGAGATTTGTTCCATTCTTTGAAGTATTATAAATTTTGACCTTAATTTGACCTTCGCACTGAAAGCTGAACATTTGTATGGTTATTAACTCCATTTTCGTCCAAAATGCGATGGAATTTGATATGCGTGTAGATGGTAGTGGGTGTCATAACAACCCGCATATTAACAGGTATAGGGCGAGGTTTTTACCTCCAAAATCAATTCTATTAATTTTGATCTCAATTTGATATATTCAGCATGAAGCCCATTTCTGGTGTCCCCCGCCGTGATATTTCTGGAAAATTGCTAAAAGCGGCGTAAAACAGTACTCACTCACTCCGACGTTCCTTCAAAATGCATTTCCTCGCACTGCAAACATCAGAAAAAAACAAGACTGAAGCTGACACTTTCAATGATTGATCCCACCAGTGATTTGTTCGATTCAGATTTTCAATATGGCCGCTGCAACAGTCACCACAGTTTTAAGAAGGATACCCCACGCAGACACATTATATTTACCTCAAGCTAGCAAGTTCTTGTTTATGCCCTTAATGCCAATACAATCTTTAAGCTTATGTTGATATGACGCACCAACCTTCCGCTCTCCACCCCACCACAGATTATGATACCCGTGAAGATCCGGGGTAGAATAGGTCTGGATTGTCTGGTCCAGACTCGATTATTTACAGACCGCCGTCATATAGCTGCAATATTGCTGAGTGCGGCGTTAAACAACAAACCAACCAACCACAGAATATGAGCGATAGACTTTAAAACTTAGCACACAGTTGGGTGTATTAGATGGGAATTTGTTGTGAACTAGTTGGGAAGACACAATAAGCTGCTTGTCTTGACAAGAGCCAGAGAATACCTTCAATAATTATGTTCCAAGTTTGAAAAGGATTCCAAGAGGCTTGATGACAATGTTTCCATTTTTTAAGATGAAACGGGTATCCAGTCTGCTTGAGACAATGTCAACGTACATTCTGGAGAGATTTTTAGTCACTCCACTTTCAATGCATAGAGTGTTTGAGACAAAGCCTGGAGAAAACTCTAAAGATCCCTCTGTTGAAACAGTGAGGTTGAAAAACAAGGTGAAAAGATATTATTTGTTTGCGAATTTATTCGTTAGCTTCCAAAAGGAATAACATGGAGACAACATTTCAAGTTCATTTACATCTTTTATTTTTTTAGATTAAAATCATTTAAACTGTCTGGACGTTGTTCCCGGACAAGTGAATGTTGACTGTATATTTGTCCAGGGACAGGTCCACTGGTTGTATAGTTTCACACCCTGGTAAGCCAATTAACGTCCAGGCGTCTAAATTCCATGAGTGAATAAAACATTCAGACCAACATATTTGATTTCTGTATATCGAAACCAACGTGAAGAAATATTCCGAATGTATATATGAGAGAGAAGATATGAAAGCAACTTCTCTATCATCAGGAACACAACGTGTCGGAATATACGCTTAGTGATGAATGGGTTAGCATATACTTCGTAACGTTGTGTTCCTCATAATGACATCTGTGTTTTCTCTGTCGTATGTGTATTACTTCTAAATGCCATTCAAAGATTGGTACAACATGAAGGCTGATCCATAATAATTTTGTGGGTATTTGACACACCAAGTGATTTCTGCACTCAAAAGCATCACCACCTAAAACGGAATAAAGGAATATTTATGTTTTATGTATTTATTTCTTTTGTTAAAATCGACATTTCCGAATTGAAGTGTAACGAAACGAAGCCAAATACAGAGCTTACATATAACTGTCTCAGGTTCCCAAGCATCGAGGTCGACCCGTGAAGATCCGGGGTAGAATAGGTCTTTAGAAACCCGTGCTTGCCGTAAAAGGCGAGTAACGGGATCGGGAGGTCAGGCTCGCTGACTTGGTTGATGCATGTCATCGTATCCCAATTGCGTGGTTCGATGCTCATGATGTCAATCACTGGATTGTCTGGTCCAGACTCGATTATTTACAGACCGCCGTCATATAGCTGGAATATTGCTGAGTGCGGTGTTAAACAACATACAAACAAACAACAAAAGCATCAAGGTCGCCCAGGCTTCATGTGAAGCAAGCTTCTATCAGGAAGACGAGGTCTTCGCGCAGACAGGTTTCGTATCGGACTGATGATGATAAGGCCGAACTGTTTACTTATATTTGGCATTTGGTCCCTGGAGGAATCTCACTGAAGTCAAAACATCGTCTCGTAACTTCACGAAGCAGGCCGCTCGCACCGTCGCGGGAGGCTCCACGTTCCACTGCTTGAGGATGGGTTTGACAGCCAGTGGAAACAGGGCTGGGCGCAGGTACTTCCACATGTAGTCTGGCAGCACTTGCTGCGCCCGGGGCACCCATGGTCGTGAAGGCACTCAACATCACAGGACAGACTCTCTCGTGCATACCAGGGACATGAACCTGGCTTATTTCGCCGACCTGAACTACCTGAAATATAAAATGTCTGCTTCAAAAATGCATTATTGGTTGTTGGATTCTTCGTTCTTGATTCGTCCAATCAACAACACCAAACTTTAACTTTAACCTGCATCCCAAAGTACGTATAGGCCCGACCTTCTCCGAGATGCTCGATATCTCCTACCACCCCCCATCCCTCCCAAGTTGTTGTTTGTTTGTTGTTTAACGCCGCACTCAGCAATATTCCAGCTATATGACGGCGGGCTGTAAATAATCGAGTCTGGGCCAGACAATCCAGTGATTGACATCATGAGCATCGATCCGCGCAATTGGGATCGATGACATGCTTCAACCAAGTCAGCGAGCCTGACCACCCGATCCCGTTAGTCGCCTTTTACGACAAGCATAGTCGCCTTTTACGGCAAGCATGGGTTGCGGAAGACCTATTCTACCCCGGACCCTCCCAAGTAAACTGACTGATCCTCCCTCTGCTACCTTGCCACGTTTCACAGATAGAGAATGTTCCATTTGTCGAGTCCAAAGGAACTGCCAATATCATTCGAAAAGGACTCGACAAGGAGAATCTGTTTTGGTTGTGTGAAGTCTTCTTTGGCCAGAAGTTATTATTATTTGCAGATTACAATTAAAAATGCAGCAAAGAGGGTTTGGGTGAACCCGGCTCAGTCAGGCTGGTTAGGCTCATCATCAGCTCAGGGCCCTGGCCCACTCCACGCGCAGCCCAGACAGCGAATGGGACTTCTCCCAGGAAGTGCTGCCTCGTCAAACCCACCCAGAACTTTTCAGAGAATGTGAAGACTCCTCAACACTGGAACCTTCTGCATTACCCATATTGTCTGTACATGTATTCCTGGAAGCAAAACCGGGTACTCTCCCAATGTCAGTCAACAGATTGGGAGGTACCAAACCTAAGGCATCGCGAACAATTAGGAGTCGAACAACTCGGTACTTGGGATGCAAGTGTGACATTTCGAAAGCGAGTCTGCATATTTGACATGTTTTTCCTAAATCTTGTCAATTAAATTAGTGTCAAAAGGGACAGAAAATTCAATAATATTAATAATTTCATTGGATTTATCTAAAAGGATTAGATCAGGTTTGTTGGCCTGGATATGTCTGAGGCTGTAAACGGGCCTATTCCATAGAATTTTGTATTTATCATTTTCCATGACGCCCTCTATTCTAGGTCGTACCATGGATGGACCTCTATGTCAAAACCACAAGCATGGCGAAGGCGGTAACAAAATGACCGAGCTACTCCATCATGTCGCTTCAGATACTGGGCCGAAGTTGGGCATCCACTGACAATGTGTTTGACAGTCCCATTAAATTCAGTGCATAATTTATATTTTATATTTACATTTTGATGCAAAATCGCACATTGACGGATTCGAGTGGGAAGTTACTGGTCCTGAGCAGCAAACAGAAAGCCTTCTGTTTTCACTTTTCAGGCCAGACGACTTCATCCAAGCCTTAACACATTAAACATAAACTCGATGCAGTGGTCGTTCAGATAGCCTCTGAGCCGATTTGATATGGCACTTCGCTTGGTTGACACTCATTTCTGTACCGTCCAGCAGTACAGAACCATCAACAAAATCAACACTGACATTAAGATTATGTCCCACATCCTTGGCTCGTTTACGAAAACTGTGGAATGCCTTGTTTTCATCATGAGTCTAGACATGCTTCACAAAAGGATCATCAGACAAATAAATGTGTGCAAAAGTGCACAAAACAATTCTAGCACAAAGAGCCTCCATGTTAATCAAACCACGCCCTCCCATTATGATTGGTTAATATAAGCGATTGAGGGAGGAGCGAGGATGGTGGGATCTATTATTATTATTGTTGTAGTTGTTGTTTCTATTATTATTGTTGTTGCTGTTGTCTTCCATCAATCTAATGGACACGGGTGGCCCAGTCGTCGAGGGCGCCGCTATTCGCTGTGCAGAGTTGCGTACCTTGGGCACACCGGGAACCTATGATTATGGGTTCGAATCCCAGTTCGCCACGATTACGTTTCTAGGTTTGTCAGCACCATACCCGTGCTCGTGGGTCTCACCGAAGTGGTAAACGTCGGAGACCTGCATCACTTCGAGCTTTCCTTCCACATTAAGCTGACACGCTGTGATATAACTGGAAAAATGTTAAAAGCGGCGTTAAACCAATCTCACTCACTTCTCACTCACTCACTCCATCAATCTAACATATTCAATCAGGACCATGAAATGTGGCGATGACAGTTGGTAGGTATCCATATTATAATCATAATCATAACAATTGAGGGTTGGAAACCATGCTTACGTTGTCTGTTCATCCGCATACACGTGTGGCCACACCCATTATAACAACATGTTTTGCCCCGTCTACAGTCCTCGTCATGTCGGCACTGTTCCACGCAAGGCCCCGACCTCCCGGGTAGCGCCGTCGGGCAGCTCCCCTCACTTCGACGCTCGATCGACGGAGAGTGGCTGGCTGCGTCTGTAGATTCTGTTGGCCATACGGGAAATGTCAACACAAGTCACGAAACATAGTGAGTAAATATGTATACACATCTCATGATCGTCTTGAAACCTTGTTATTTCACGATTAAAGGCATCTGTGAGACAAATCACAAAATAATGACAGTCATGTTTGCCATGAGTCACATGATCCATAGCGAAATGGTGAAAAGGTGATTTGCCATACATTATGAGAGGAAATAATTACGCTGATATGATACCATAAATCTTATATTATTTCACGTTTAATGGATTCTTAGAGAGGGACGGCGATTATAGGACTTCATGAAACAGTTGTATTTAGCACATGCGAAAGAACACCAATTTGTGTTTACATGTTCTTTAAATAAATTAATATGCCCTTTTATGTGTGAAGTATGAATATAGTCTCTTTTGCTACCAAATTCGTTATGCCACTGTTAGACTTTTCAAAACGCTAAAACTTCAAAATGCATAACCCAAGCGTCTACTGAAAGTGATTACGTGCAATATAATAAGTCAGTAAAACTTACACAATACTCATGTTAAACAAATACCACCTTGGGTATGCTGCAAACGTGATTGGCGCACAGCGATGTTGCCAGGCAATTTAATGTTCATCGCAACATCGTTCATCCCTTTGCAGACGTTATCTACAGCAGGGCAACTCTCATGACTTGACACGGGCCGGTCGTCCACGTGTGATGACACGTCAGCAAAACAAACATATTCGGTTGGTGCATTTACGGAATTCATACCAAACTGCCACATTAACAGCTCGGACAAATCCAATTGGTGGCAGAACTGTAAGTCACCGGTTGAGGGAGCACAACATACGGCCCGACGTCCAGTGATACGGCCAGTTTTGCTTCAACGTCAACGTCAGACACGCCTTGCTTGGTGTAGACGTCATCTGAGGTTCAGAAGACAAGACTGGGAAAGTATGCTGAGCTCAGAGGAGGGTCTACAAGCGTCCAGGGCCCACTTGCACAAAACGATCTTAGCGCTGAGACTATTGTAAGCCTATGTTAAAGTATGGGAGTTAAGATCATCTTAGCGCTAAGATCGCTTTGTGCAAATGTGCCCAGGAGAACATTTTACGATTGTTTTACACAACGCCGTCAGTTTGAGGATGGGAGTGTAATGGCAGTGGCATCACAATTCACAGGGAACATAACTCGTCATTGTTAATGGCAATATGAATGACAACAAACAACAAACTAACGTTCCTACTCGAAAGGACACGTATCGGATGAGTTCGATCGCTGCGTATCAAGTGTTCAGACTGCAGACCCATGAAGATCCGGGTTAGAATTGGTCTTCTGGGACCCATGCTTGTCGTAAGAGGCGACTAACAGGACCGGGTGACGAGGTCGGTTGACTTGGTTCACGCGTGTCTTTGTAGAAGCATGTCATTGCGTAAATCGATGCTTATTAAGTCAGTCACTGGATTGTTAGTCCAGACTCGGTTATTTACAGACCAGCGTCATATACCTGGAATATTGCTGACTGCGGCAGTAAACAGCAAACGAAATCATATGTGCAGGAAATGTATATTAGCTTCTTAACATTAAATCTTCTTTACGTCACCTTTATAAACAAAATGTCGGAACATGCTTTCAGCAACTAGTTCTCTTACCGCATATAAACCTATCTGCGCAGCTTCCATTGATGCACGTGACGGCAGTACGAACACAGTGCGTGCCGGACGGGCACATTTGAGTCTGCAACATAAAACATTTTTTCCTACTATTATGTTTTTTGTATTTTTTTTATCATTGTCAGCTGTCTACACTGGTTGCACTGTTTGTTTGCACAACTTTTTTTCTTTTTCGTTTTGTTTAAAGCCGCACTCAGCAATATTCCAGCTATATGACGACGGTCTGTAAATAATCTAGTCTGGACCAGACAATCCAGTGATTGGCCTCATGAGCATCGATCCACGCAATTGTGATATGATGACATGCATCGTTAGTCACCTCTTATGACAAGCACAGTCGATTATTTTGTGGTGATGTTTTTAATTTAATCACTTGATTGTCTGGTCCAGACTCGATTATTTACAGACCGCCGTCATATAGCTTGAATATTGCTGAGTGTGGCGTTAAACAACAAACAAAGAAACAAAATAATCAGTCTTGATTTCATAAATGGTTATGGGGTACTTACGCATCCTCTGTCTGCATCAATCATCATTGTCAGATGACACTGAAAATGGAACATCATCCAATAAGCCATAAAACAGAAAGAATATCCATAAAAATGCAATTCAGGAACTTTATGGTGATAATGGGTAGATTTTTATCCTTTCCTTTTCATGAAAGATACGACCCACTCATGTTAATTATAATCACGCTCATGTATGTAAATTGTTGATATGTTAATCCTTCACCATACATAATTCAGTACCATGCTCACGCAATTCTGTCTTGCTTGATAACGGGAGAAGGATCAATGGCGAAATGTCGCATTACTAGTGGTATTATTAGCGTTAAGGAAGATGTTGTCCATTAATTGTGTCTATCGCCCTTTATTCTTCCTTGACATGTCCAGATTGATTTGTTTGTTTGTTTGTTTGTTTAACGCCGCACTCAGCAATGTTCCAGCTATGTGACGGCGGTCTGTAAATAATCGAGTCTGGACAAGACAATCCAGTGATTGATATCATGGTGACAAACGACTATGCGCTTGGCAGAGATTTCTTATGAATATGGAAAGGGTGTTGTCGTTTATGTTTGAAACGTATTTCAGTTGTCAGCGGCGTTCATAAAATTGCCTCACTCACGGGACGTTTTTCAGCTTTACTCAGAAAACAGACATGTTTCAATCCTTGCAAAGGTCATCTATAAATATCAGTGAGAAAGTAATGACATCTTAAGTAGTGCCAAGATGATGCCAAGAAGCATTGATACTAAGCAGTAGTAATGATATTCTCCTTAAAGCTAATCATTTATTATATTCTATGAGGATCAAATATTGTATTTATAAATAGCGGCTGTTTCCAACGCGCTAAAAATGTGTTATATTCTTGTATTGTTTTACATATTATTTCAACGAATGAGAAATGTGTCTTTGTATTTGTTTTTGTTTGTTTGTTGTTTAAAGCCGCTGTTTGTCTTTGTAACTTTTTACTGTATCGTATGCAAGTTCTCAAGCACGTGGTTTGGTCACCAATGGATTTCGCTTGAGTCGTCAGTATGAGAACGCAGAACATACAACGACTGCTTGAATTGTATAAATAACGGCGACAAAGCCCTTTCCATACAGGGCGGTCGGGTAGCCTAGTGGTTAAAGCGTTAGTTCGTCACGCCGAAGACCCGGGTTCGATTCCCGACATGGGTACAATGTGTGAAGCCCATTTCTGGTGTCCCCCGCCGTGATATTGCTGGAATATTGCTAAAAGCGGCGTAAAAAACCATACTCACTCACTCACTCACCCTTTCCATACACATATGAGTGATTGAGTGAGTATGTTTTTTACGCCTCTTTTAGCAATATTCCAGCAATATCACGTTGTTGTTGGTTTGTTGTTTAACGCCGCGATCAGCAATAGTGCAGCTATATGACGACGATCTGTAAATAATCGAGTCTGGACCAGACAATCCAATGATTGACATCATGACCATTGATACGCACAATTGGGATCGATGACATGCATCAACCAAGTCAGCGAGCCTGACCACGCGATCCCGTTAGTCGCCTCTTACGACAAGCATAGTCGCCTTTCGGCAATCACTTCAAGTGAACGGGAGTGGGGGACAAGTTTTTCAAAACTGGACTGCCCTCTCCCTGGTATTGACAAATTTCACGATTTCAATTTCAATTTCAACAAATCTTTACAAACATAACTTGTTCGGAACATGTGCTTTACCGGGCCCTCGCCATTACCGTAGTATAATAGGGAACCCTCTTTATCCTGTTATCAAAGGCGACTATTGTTGCCGTCAGAGGCGACTAACGGGATCGGGTAGTCAGGCTCGCTAACATGGTTGATACATGTCATCATATCAACAAACAAAGAAACAAATCTTATCAATTTGTAAACAGTCGTACGACGAACAGTTGGGCTGTTCAATATATAATATAATTATCTATTGTAGGTTAATACCGTGATCGGCAAAATACATTGTACCCAATCACAGTTACTGACTTACGAAAACTTGTCACAAAGCACTTTTTCTGAATATAATTAAAGGTCATCCCTGAGGTAACCCATCTAGAAATTCGAGTTTGGAACAAAGTGAGCCCGAAATAATTCACGATCATTGCTATTACATATAATAACGTAAAATTAAATTTCGTTTCCCGCCGTCATATAGCTGGAATATTGCTGAGCGTGGCTTTAAACAACAGACGAACAAAATTTCGCTTTAGGTCGTGCCATGAGAGAAGTTCGTCAATTGCAGTTTCAAACAAATATCAATTTAAAGGGAAAAGAAAGTATACCGAGTTGTTGAATTTGAGTATGTCTATTTAACCATCCCTGAAACGGTTTGTAAAACAGTAAAATAAAATCTATGGCTGGGTATTTTTGTGCAAAAATTAATTTGTCCAATGAAGACTGTGATGATAAAGAATCTGAAACCATATGGCTCCTACCATGTTTGAATTGTAAATTTGTGCCGGAAAAATCACATTTATTTATTTTCAAAGATAAGATGTCTAAAATACCCATCAGCTGTTGTGTATCATGCGAAAAAAATTAGTTCAATCTTGTATATATCAGAAATCAATTATTTTTTCACAAAATGAAATCATGTAGAAGTATTTTACGAGTGCTAAGTACCAGTACAGATCACAGTACAGTTTGGATATGATATTACTATCGTAAAATATTTTCCGCTGAAAATCAAACATATAAAATCCACTGAGAGATACAGTTTCGCTTGCTTCGCCGTTATTTAAGAATCCCGGTTTTCATTAGTGACAGTAATATGATATTCAAATACATGAATAAAATCAATTTAGATATAGTCATAAGTCTTACCACGAGTCCAAGTGCGAAGTTTGTGGGCCACGTGACCATGGTGAAGCTAAGTCGAATAATGTTGCAGCCTTCTACGCCTCTGTACAACGAGCGTCTTTCATCTTATATACTCATTTATTGCTGGGCGTGTATGCGTGGGCGAGATGTGTTCATGTGAGCTTAACGTTGTTGTTTCATTTGCTTAGGATATATCCCGTGGGCTTCCGAGAACTCGTTCAAGTATAATTCCATTACAAAACACCGTTACTGTTTAATCACTATATTGAATGGTTTTAAAGAATGGTTTGTTTCCGCTCAGTAGTTTAGGGCGGTCATATTGCCATTACAATACACCTCCGCTTGAAAGCGTATAACAATGAGAAAAAGATTCCAAATGTTACCTGAATTTGTTACTTTGTGTGTAATGTTAAGTAGGTTTGTGTCACACTTCTAATATTTATTGCAAGCGACAAAACCCTTACAAGAAATCACTGCTGTAGCCAGAGTCGAATGTACGACTCCTGCCACATCATGAGCATTTGTTTATGAATCAATATCAATTAGTGACGACACCAGGTGTTCGCGAAAAGATGACCGTATCCTGCCCCACCGGTGGCACCCGTCACAAACACATGCAAAGTCACGTCAATTGTTCACCTAAAAAGGCAATTGGGAACATAAGGTACAAGTCAAAATAGGGAATTACAGCGGACATCATGTTTGTCACTGTGCGTCATCGAAATGTCATCGACGTGTCTACCAAAAAGCTTTTGGAAAGCTTTACTGAGGCCGTGACTGTTGTAACCTTGATCAAACAACTTCTGAAGAAGAATCGTATGACGCTCTTTGAAATCTTGGTAGAAAGAACATGATCGACTGTATCTCCAAAGTTGCGAAATGTAAAGACCAAAGGCTGGAGCCGCTGGAATATTGCTCTACATGAAGGGAAAGTTGACTATTGGAAAAATGAATTCATCTCTCTTGTCATGCAGTCTTGTGGAAAAAGGAATGGTCAAAACATAACTTGTTGTTACCCTGCCTGGCGCTCTGCGTTAAGCTACTACAACAAGGACTGGTCGGCCCGGAGTCAGCGGTATCTCATACGGATAGTACATAAAATCGGCATTATTCCGCGAGGATCGTAATCAATGAATTGACTTAACATCAGAAACACAATTTCTTGCAGACATTGTTTGTCAGCCGAACGCTTACCCAACGGTAAAACGTAAACAAGATCTCTGATTCAAATATCAATTTAATTATTAATGCTGAAGACAAGCATATATAAATAACACTTATACACACTAAATAGTAACATTGATCAATTTGGCAATATGTTTTATAACATCGTTTTCACATATACATGTAGCACCACCCGGTAACCCTACCCGAATAGCCTGTCGTGAAATAAAATAATACAATAAAACCTACATGCAAGTCTTTCATATCTTAGAGAGTGTAGATCTCTTCAAATAAAACCCATTTGCTTCTGTAACGTGTAAAAGAAATGGCAGGAGTACCACTGTGCTGCGCCAGGCGATAAATACTTACATATTAAGCAAATTGTATGAGTGGCGGGTTCTGTCGGTAGGGCAGGACATGCTTACCCTTTTCACGAAATCCTGGTGTCATCGCTGATTTTCAGTGGACCATTCACATAATTTCTGGGGCGGTCGGATAGCTTAGTGGCTAAAGCGGTTGTTCGTCACGCCGAAGACCCGGGTTCGATTCCCCACATGGATACATTGTGTGAAGCCCATTTCCGGTGTCCCTCGCCGTGATATTGGTGGAATATTGCTAAAATGTGGCGTAAAACCATACTCAATCACTCACACAATTTCCCTAGCTATTTGCTCTTCACGCCAAGTGGAATCTCTTTCGGCAGAAAATCTAGCATGGTTATTCTCTTGCATTGACAATCTGAATGAAATTGTGTTATATTCATTTCAGAGATTCAAGTTAAGTCAACGTCCCGGCGTTTAAGCTACCATTCCTTGATATACAGGCACATGTGGCCGACCTATACGACGAAAGCATCGGCTAAGAGTTTTCCCTCACATTTTGCCAGTACCTGACAACCTAAACAACGTTAAATTTGTCCATAGTGTTTGCAAATAATGTTTTCTTGTATGTGGCAGTGTATGCAACCAGGATCAACAGTTTGTGCTCTATGCGTGAGCTATTATGCCCGTCAATAATGTTAAAATTGATGTGATGGCATTCCAAAGAACTATTGAATATTAATATAAGATGGCAATAAATCGCAAAGAACAATAAAGAACATGGCTCTATCATGACATCATTTCCTGAGATTCGAACATTCGCTCGCAATTTGATTGGACAACGTTGTTTTTGAGAGGGAAGTGTGTAGTGAGTTGTTCCCCATAGATGCAGCTGGACAGCACTGATGTCCGAACGATCGCACCCAAAAGTGGGAGAGATGTGACAATCGGTATTGGGAGAAAAGGTACAGATAATCGACATGATACTTCTGAGAATATGCGGGAAAGACCAAATTTAAGACCAACTTATTCCGTTGCCAAGCAAGACTGAATGAAGAACATGGTACATAATATATATACACTCTTTAAAAAAAGAAACGCACTGGTAGATTTTAAGTAAATATTGTACCTAATAAAGCCGATATATTTAATGTTATACCATAGATACAAATATGAAATGTTTGAGCTCGATAGTCACATGTTGTCTTTGTATAAAGGCATTGAAAACTGTTCTTTGTCATGTCACATAAGGCCACAAGGTTGCGCTGAACTCAGTATCTCAAGTGACTGCATCGGACAGCAATCATGGCTCTGCATCTCCTCGGCACTGACTGGATAAGTGTGCGAATTCTGTCCTGCGGTATTCTGCGCCATTCTGCTTGTAACACTTCGAACAGTTCTGGGAGTTTCTGCGGTTTGTTCTGACGTTGACGGATAGGTCCATCGAGTTCATCCCAGAGGTTTTCCATTGGGTTGAGATCTGGAGATCTCGACGGCCAGGGCAAAACGTTGATGTTGGCATTATGAAAGTAGTCTACCGTGACACGAGCTGTGTGCGGTGGAGCGTTGTCCTGTTGAAACAGTTCCCTCTGGCGGTCAATGATTGGAAGAAGGTTAGGTTGAAGAATCATATAGCGATTTGCTGTCAACATTCTGTGAATCACAACCAAGTCAGATCTCGTGGTGTAGAATATGGCTTCCGACACCATGCCACTACCGCAACCGAATTTGTCGAATTCACGTACACAATGTGGGGCAAAACGCTCATGTCGACAGCCATAATCACGTTGTCTTCCATCTCGCCCTGAAGAAGAAATCGTGATTCATCGCTAAACTACGCTCATCTCAAGTTTCTCAAATTCCAAGGCTGTAAGGTATGGCACCAACGCAAACGTCGCTGTCGATGGATCTGTTGCAAAACAGGGTTGATAACCGGTCGGATTCCAGCCCCGCGAAGATGGTTCCTGACAGTCTGGTCCGATATCCTCCTGAAACCAGGAATCCGTCCTGAAGTCTCCGAAGCTGTGGCATTGCGATGACGTAGGTGGAACAGTCGAATGTAGCGATCCTGTGCAGGGGTGGTAACTCTTGGTCGGCCGGTTCTCGGACGGTCTGCATAGGAATTGAACTGTGTTAATCGGTCACAAAGGCGGCAAATGGTGCTGTGGTGGACGTTGAAGTGGCGTGCAACAGAAGACTTCGATTCCCCTCTTTGGATACGTCCTTTGGCGATGTTCCGATCGGCAGCGCTGAGTCTCGGCATTTTCGAACTTGAAAAATGTTGGCAATTGAATGACAAATTATTGGCTTATGCTTGCCTTTTTTTGCCACTACCACGAGTTACGAATGCCATGACTTGCACGTGCATTTTGCTTTACTATTTTCTTCCATGACATTTTGGAACAAGTGTGAAAACAATGCCGTTTAAGACATTGCAAATCGACAATGACTGCGTTTTGGCGAATATCAGGCCACCAACCTTTCCCAGTAACATAGAACCAATTTATATACCGGATTGTTTTGTGTAGTCAGGTTCAATGAACTACATATCACCTGTACGTTTCTTTTTTTTGAAGAGTGTAGTAGGTGGAGGATTAACAGTAACAACAATTACATACATGATTGGGATAACATGAGTAAGTAAGGTAATGACAACAGAAGGATAATACTGTCACAATATGATGGACAGAGAACACATAGGTATGAAGCCAATTATAAGGATAGGTTTACATAGGTGTGGTGATTATTGCTTAATGAGTTCATAGTAGGCGGATTGGATGAAATAGCCTTGATCTCTATTGATTGATGGCTTGTGGCGACGAATGTGGATTGCTTCTGTTAGTTTTCTTTTAGTGGAGTCATGGAGGTTGTTGGAGAGGATTTGGACGTTTTCCCAGTTGATGTTGTGATTGGGGCAGTTGCTGATATGGTCCGAGATTTACCGCTGATTTACTGTCTAATTTGATAGTTGAAGTTTGTGCTCTTTGATACTGGTGTTGATTTCAGCTATTTTGTACATATTTACATTTTAAATAGTGACGAACACGCAACGCTATCGATCGTTTTTGTGGGTTTCTTCAGTTCCCCATACAAGTAAGCGAGTGAGTGTGTTTTTACGTGGGGTCTTGCACAGAGGGTCGGCCCTGTGGTCTTCCAGAACATCGGTCCTGGGAGAGGCAATGGTATCACAGCAGCTCGGTACATTGATCAAGTCTTGAGACCACACGCCATACCTATATATAAATGGATAGATGGATAGACAGGCAGACAGGCAGACAGACAGACAGAGAGACAGACAGATAAAATACAAAAGTCCTAAGATCCGTAATTTACGCTGTTTTGACGTCACAGTGCACTCTAACACTATATAATATGTATTCTGTGTGTATATATATATATATATATATATATATATACTAAACCGTAAAGGTAACGTCATCATGGATAGATGGATATGAGAAACCTTATTTGTCAAATACTGTAAACATACTTTGAGACATATTACATAGATGAAACTTGGCAAAACTGATCATCAAGGTTGAAATTAAAGTGTCAAATGTTCTTAAAGTGAAGCACAACACTAGTCTCTGA